TATATAATTTATAAATTTATATACTTAAGAAGTTACAATAAAATATAATCGTCAATGATCGATTTTTCTTAAAAAATAAAACAATATTAAATTATTCATTGTCGTGACTAGAGATAAATTTCCACAAAGTAAACAGCACCCATGAAATAAGACCGTATTTTGACTTACCCGCACCACTGAAATTCTAAGGAGTTCGGTCTCCTGGTCTCTAGTCTTCTTGAGCCAAAGAAAAAAATAAATATGTAAGATAGAGCTTTGTCGAATGCCAAAGTTACATGGAACACTCACTTCCAGTACAAAAGAAACTACAAAATTAAAAAAATTATTCATATAACAGTAGTTCTTCAATAATATATTATTGTTATAATTTTTTCGTATTCTTGTAGGTTTTTTTCGTAAGAGTTGTCCAGAAAAGACAGATTCTTGCTTAGGAATTCGACTGCAAAATCGAGCGGCGAAGAATCCGCAGTAAAAGACAGCTTTAATTCAGCCAATTTGGAAGACTAAAATATTTATCAATGTCAAAAGGAACGTCAATCATTGTCATCGATGTACAAAAAATGAATTTTGCCGATAGACTGACTTTAGACCACGAGAAATTATTAACAAAGAATAATTGTCTACCTTAAAGATTTTACAAATTTCTCGAGGGAATACAACAAAGGAGACTTCTAGATAATCGTTGGACAAATAAAAAAATTGTCCAGATCACGAAAAAGAAAGTTATATAATGAAGATTATATATTAAATTATAAGAAAGTCAATAAAACAAGAATATCGTTTGTTTTAGAGAAATATGTAGAGAATTTAAAAAATACTTTAAAATAAAAAAATGTTTTATAAAAAATTATGCTAGAAAGTGTTTAAAGATGATTTGCCCCTCCCTCTTCTCTCCGATTCTTTAACCTGTCATCAAGAAATTTATCGCGCTATTTTCAAGAACTTTTTGTAATATAAAAATAATTATTACAAATTATTAAAATCTATAAAGTGATACAAAGGGATATTTACAAAAAAAATATGTCTCAAATTTTAAAGATACAGTTTAAATTTTAAACTCCAAAGACGCATAGAATGGAGAAATGCAATCTGCATCTTTTTTTCCTACATTTTATGCAAAATGCATTTTTCCTTTCTATATTCTCGGGAAAATGCAGAAGAAATCTTTAAGTAAATGTCCAAAATAAACCCAGGTAAAAACGACCCTTCCATGGGCGTCCGCAGAATTTTTTCCAGAAGAGAGCATATGAGATTTTTAAAATTTCTTGTTCTTAATTCTTTTAAATTTTATTTCTTTATTATTTTTATTCTTTTATATTATGCAAATAAATTTTAGCATTAATTAGTGTTGTCAAAAAGAGAGCAAATGTTTAATTTTTTTACTAACTTCAATGGGGAGATGCAAATGGAGATTTCATGCAAAATGCACTTTTCCTATTCTCGGGAAAATGCAAAAGAAACGAAGGCTAAAAATGGACCCAGATAAAAACGACCCTTCCATGGGCGCCCGCTAGATTTTTTCCAGAAGGAAACATATTAAATTAAAAAAATTTTTTGTCCTTAATTCTTTAAAATTTTATTTTTTTGTTATTTTCATTCTTTTATATTAAATATGCATATAAATTTTAGTATTAATTAGTGTTGTCAAAAAACAATTCTTTTAAATAACATGTATAATTTACAATTTTTTATAATTTAACGTGGTTAAGTGTTTATTGAGACATTTATTTACAAAAAAATCAATTAAAGTACAAATTTTTCAGTTTGTGTCTTGTATTTTGTTTTAAATAGTAGAACAAATAAATAAAAACGTAAAATATGCCATAGTTGCATGGACCAACATAATAGACAGATGTTATATTGACATATACATGTATACAATACATATATATGTTCGGTTTTTGTAGATAAATACTATGCCCTATTTTTGTATGCAATGTCAATTGAGAATCAACGACGAATAAAATATATTTATTATTCTCTGCTCTATATTTATTGTATATGCAAAATATGACATAATTAAAATTTACCATTTATTAATATCTATTATTTTGAAACTTTTATAATTAATAGTGTTGCATTTTTATAAGTAAAAACACGTATGTTAATAAAAGGCAATGATTTTTGTATTTTGAAATATATATAATACTTTTGTGTTGAAGGAGACAATAAAAACATATTAATGATATTAGATTTTGTATGATATATTGTATGATAATTGCAGATATTGAAAATTTATGCAAGATTCAAGCAAGACTTTAAAATTTGACTAATTCCAACAACTTATATATTCCTTTTATGTAGAGGATCTCTTCAAATGGATGAGGCATTATTTTAAGAAATATAACGAACTACGTTAAATATTCATTAAAATATATTAAAATGTGGTAATTGTACAAAAACTTATACCAAAATTTTTTATATATCTGAATATATAAAAAACACATAATTGAGAAACACATGCTTAGTGATGAGACAGCAAATGTACTCCGCATTTGGGCACAGAACACATTTAATGTCATTAAAATGTAACACTTTAATTTCTGTTTCTTTCAAACTTCTGTTAGGACACTCATCTTGTATTTTATTTTTAAAAATAAATTTATTAATTTTACAAATATGTTTCTTCAGTGATCGAGCGATTTAAACAATATATAATCCTCTATATCACGTTATATAATAGTTTACACTCTGTATATACGCGCGAGTAAACTACATAAAATTGTCGAAATTCTTAACATTTGTACATTATTTATTAAAAAGAAAGAAAGATAGACAGAAAGAGAGAGAGGAAGAAAGATTGAAATATATTTCATATTATAAATAATGTCGTAACGATACTAATAATTTGTATAAATATTCGTATTTATAAATTGAAATAAGTTTAAACAAATTTAATTAAATTAAGATTAAAAATCTGAACATTAATTTAAATGTCTGTGCTGTATTTTTTAAATTTATAAATTCATTCTTTGATTTTATTATGCGGCGCATTTATCATGATGTGAATTGAAATATTTTAACTAATTTTGTTAGACAATCAAAATAAGAACATAAATTTAATGGAATAAAAATTATAACAAAATTTAACATAACTATTAACGAAGAATGTTTTCATCGTATCATTTATGCAGAGAATCTCTTCAATGGATGTGGCATTATTTTAGAAGGTATAACAAACAACGTGGAGCATGTGATATTTGTGATAAAAATTTCATCTTATTATCTATCGATACATTTCTGATATATCATATAAGAATAAAACATAAAGAAATTTATACATAATGTTTCAAGTGTGCGGCATTCTTATTCTATATCAGGAAATATATTAAAATCCGATAATTGTACAAAGACTTATACCAAAATTTTTTATATATATCTGAAATTATAAAAAAACATAATTGAAACACACATGCTTAGAACAGCAAATATACTCCACACTTGGATATAAAACACATTTAAGGTCATTCTGAAACGCAAGATTTGCGACAAATTTAATAAGATAAATAATTCTTGTAAATTAATGATTTTTATTTCAACTTCATAATATCTCTGCACCTCTCCAAATGCTACCAAAGAAGTAAGTGAAAACCCGATAAATATGAATATTACTATTTAGTTGTTTTTTAGTGATTAATATAAACTTTTGAAAAATAAATGAACAAATATACTTAATGAATAAGAAAGTTAGTCTCGAAATAAACAAGGGTATGCGAGCTGAACGCGAAAGTTTATGTTTTAGATAATAAAAATAAATTTTTCCCTTATGTCTTATAATTGTGCACAAGGCACGAAACTTGCTTAGCATAGTGCTAACAATAAGCCTATTTAGGAATAAATCTCAACTTGGTTCTCAATTTTAGAATCTTTATTTAAATTCCTGAGTTCCCGATTCAGCAACTTTTGGACCGATATATTTTGCTCCTTTACATCTTTTTAGGAGGATCAGAGGGAAACATAAGAACTAAAATCTCGAATTGAAATTTATTTATCCGCGTTGAGTTCGCATAGTCTGTTCATTTTGAATTTGCATTTAATCCATGGAGTTTTTATATTCTTATAAAGTTTAGATTTCTAGAATATGTACACCCCGTATATACGCGCGAATATAACTACATAAAATTGTAGAATATTCTTATATAAACTATGTACATACATCAATTATTAAATATTTGTATTGTAAGTCGAGGATTTTTAGCTGAGAATTTTATCTGTACAGATTTGAAGGATGAAAAATGTAAATCTCTCTCTTTCTTTTTCTCTCTTATCAAGAAAATTTGACAATTCACAGCACTGGAGTTTTAAACTGTAAAATATAAATACATGAATATTATTGGCAAAATTTAATAAAATAATTGATAATTTGAAATAAAATTAGTTTAATTAAGTTTAAATAATACATAATATAAATACATAGAAATTAATAAAATTTAAAATAACTGATGAATTTGTAAAAATATATTATATTAATTAAGCTTAAATAAAGAACAATAAATAAATAAATAATAGTAACAAAAAACTAATAATAAATAAATAATTTATCACGTTCTATCTTTCAAGTGCATAGAAGAAAATGGTAATTTTTGCTAGTTCTAAATTTTATTTTCTGCGCATGCCGTGACAAGTCCTTATATTTGTATCTCATTGTTAGTGGGAAGAAGCAATAAGGCTTTAGAATCTAAGGTCAAATTTCATAATACAGAACAGACCGTCTGTAGTGTGGAAACGTTTCTCGTCTACATCAAACACATATTTGTGCTCTTTGTAATCGGCAGATTCATTTCGTGTACTGTGAAAAGCAAGGACTTAATTACGCGAATAGTATATTGCAATCACTTTAATTTATATTCCTTTCTTGTGTTTTATTTTTCATAATGTCTAATATAACGAGCTTACCAAAAGAGATAATAGCCACCATTCTCGGCTATAATGTTATCACTATGGATGATATCATTAACTTTCGATGCGTGTGCAAGCAATTTCGTTATGCAGCCAAATATGACAAGTTCTTGGAAAAAAAGTTATCTCAAAGGTAATTCTTGTAGTTTGTAAATCTTTTTGTTATTTTGTCTCATTAACGCTTGTCGCACAATGTATATCACTTCTGCGAAGAACGTATATCATAAATATAAAATAAATTAAAAATATTGAAAATATAGTGAAAAAAATAAAAACTTAAATAATTTATAAACAGATAGAGAAAAATAGATTATATATATGTATAAAAGAAGACAAACGCACAAATTTTATTCTTTATACTGATTCAATTGATAAACTTATTTATTTATAGTTTATAGTAATTAAAAGTAATTCAATTTTTTAGATCTTTTAGTTCACATTAGCACATTGGTTTATGAATTTTATTGCATTATTTATAAAAATATAATATAATATGTAATATAATATATAATATAATTATATATAACATATATAGTATATTAAAAAAATGTATATATTAGAAAAATTAAGTATGTAAAATTTATGTTGCATATTAAATTACTGTACTTTCATTGAATCACTCAAATTTAAATCTTTTATTTTATTATTGTATTTTATTTTATTTAATTATTTCTTTTATTGCTCAAAAATAAATTTGAAAAACTCTACCATTATATATACATAAATACATATATGTATGTTTGTTCGGAATGTAAACATCAAATAATATACTGATAAGAATTCATAATTTTCGGCTGTCAAAAATTAAAAGACTAAATATTTTTCGACCGATACTTGCCAATTGATGTTTGTCTCATTAATCACACACCGTTTCGACCACGGTGTTTCGACCATAATTTTGGTTCTTCGCACACTTGACAGTACACTTGAGAACGACAGAAATTCTATGAAACGTTGTGTGATTAATTAAATAAATATTAATTGGCCTGTATCGGTCGAAAAAGATTTAATCATTAAATAATTTCTTTTAAATTTTTAATTACTAAAAATGTAACGTAAAATTAACTTTGTTTATTTATTTTAATGTGTATTCTTCAATATATTTAATTGTATTTCAAAAATAAAGATTATATTTTTGATATATATTCGTGATTAAAACAAACAGGATTGATATTTTTTTATCTGTTTTTTTAATAAATAACACTAAAATTATAATAAAATCTTCATAAAAGTAAAAGCATGCCAAGTAACATTTATAAACACAGTCAACATTGTATGTAAATATGCTTTCGAAAAAATTGTTCTAAAATTAATTTTTAAAAAATTTTAATATATACACAAACGCACATTAGAGTTTATTAATAGCATATAGAATACACATATAAAATTACGCAATATACATATTAAAGTCAAAATTTGAAAATATAATTTTAATATACTTTTAGGAATATGTAGTTCAAAAATAAATATTTACATAAACAATTACAAATTTAAATTGAATATTATATATTTTATTTTTCTGATTAAAGTATAAAAAGAAGTGACATATATATATTCATACTTTGAATTGTATACTTTAAAAAATTTATTAATTTGAAAAATTACTTGTGCAATCACATTGTTTACTATTATCAAAGTTTGCTGTGTGTTATCTAAATAAAATTAAATGAAAGAACTACTGGCGTCATCTTATCTGTATATAGATAATAAAAATATGTATTATCTTTATATCTGCATTTTACAAGTAGATAAGAAAAAAGTACTCTTTACTATATTATTTATCTAGAGTAATTTTCAGATAATTTTGGTTTAAAATCATAGCACATAAAAATACTTAAAGTAGACGGTAAACCGATAAAAATTTATAAATATAAATAAATATATATTATTGTGTCCTTTTTATAATTAACATTTTTTTATAACTATGTTTTTCAGATGGCCCGATGTAAAGAGACAATATAAAATTTTTAAGGAAACAAAGGATGGAGAAAACATGAACTTTCTTGCAAGAGGCCTAACTTGTGCGACACAGGTGCGAAACTGTATTAAGTAGTTAGTATAAACTAATTAAATAAATATTAGTTGGCTTGTATCGATCGAAAAATATTTAGTCATTAAATATTTTTTTTTAGATTTAATTGTTAAAAATAAAATTTAAAAGTAACTTTGCTTATTTATTTTAATGTGTATTCTTCAATATATTTAATTGCATTTTTAAATATAAAAATTATATAGATGATATATATACGTGATAGAAACAGATTTGATATTTTTCTATCGGTACTTTTTTATAAATAACATCGAAATCACAATAAAATTTTTATAAAAGTAAAAACATGCCAAGTGACATATATAAGCACAGTCGACATTGTTTGTAAATATGCTTTCGAAAAAATTGTTCTACAAAATATTAAAAAAAAACTTAATCTATACACAGAACTGTGGCGTCATCTTATCTGCAAATAGATAATAAAAATATGTATTATCTTTATGTCTGCATCTTACAAGTAGATAAAAAATGTACTACCTTTACTATATTATTTATCTAGAATAATTTTAAGATAATTTTGGTTTAGAATCATAGCACATTAAAATACTTAAAGCAGACAGTAAAACGATAAAAATTTATAAATAAAAATATGAATACATATATTGTTGTATCTTTTTCATAATTTATATTTCTTGTATAACTGTGTTTACATAAGCAGTCTTAAATATTATTATTTAAACAATTATCTAAATAAATCGTCATATAATTATATCTTTTATCTAGATATACTTAAAACAAAATCATCTTTATCCTATCTAAGATGAATTTATATACTTTTATTTCATCTTTATCCAGCTAATTTTAAATTAATCTTGACACAACACTAAGTATCATTATCAAAAATTTATTACAATATTTTATGGTCGTATTTTAGATGGCCCTATGCGAAGAAAAGATATGAAAGTCTTAAGGAAACAAAAGATGGAAAAAAATAAACTTTGTTACAAAAGGCATAAATTCTGTGATTCAATTGCGAAATTATTTGTCTCTAATTCTTTTTTATGATTATTATTATGACTATAATGAATCAAATGAAAATTACTTCCACTTAATTGCTAATGTATTAACATTCAAAAATGTCAAGAAATTCAGCGGTAATATTGATCAACTTGTTCCTAAACGTACACAAAAGCATATAGATGTGCTGAAATATATATGTTTTATATTGAGGAGGTTAAATGCTTGTTAACACAATTTCCACAGTAAGATCTTTATTTATATCATAATGCTACTATTATTACAATTTAATGTATTTATTCATTAGTTAATACTTCAATATATAAATTTTTTAACAGAATTGAACGCAAATCAATCGAAAGATATTGCAATATAGAAATGTCTCATTATGAAAAGCTATCTTTGATACGAAATAAATTGGACAGATATATAGAGAAACCTGAAAAAAAACAGCTTTTAGAAGAAATTTGTACTTTCATAGCACAACGTATTCAACCTCGAAAAGATGTATGTTACACGAATGTAAGTGCATCATTGGATACAATCGCACAAGAAATACTGAATTCTCTTAGAAAGAAGCATCCGAACCATTCGATATTCTCCACGTCTGATGAAACTTTTTCTTATTGGAAAACCAACAATATCAAAAATAATCATTGGAATGAAACAGAAAGTACGCAGATTATGGATACACTTCAGGAATATATATTTAGCATCTTAAACTTTCGAGCAAATATCACCCCATGTTCACCCCAAGATATCAAATGGATTTGTATAGAGCATGTAAGTTATTAGAGATTATAATATATATAATTATGGGCCATATATGTATATATTATATATTGTTCTTAATATTCTCTCGCTTTGATCAATTTGTTCTATATTATATTTGGCACAGGTTTTACAAACTAAATATGGTCAAGATATCATTGTATATACAATATTTCATAGCGTGGCTAGAAGACTTGGTCTACGTTGCGATGTACTACGAGTTTCTAATCAATTCTGTGTATTTTGGAAACCAAAATAGTAAGTACAGATTTATTAGAATCGACATTATCATTATTTCTCGATAATCTTTCTTTTTTATTATACGCATACATATATAATTTTTTATTATAAAAATTTTCATATGATTAAGGTTTTATTTTAATTGTTTACAGCGTCACGAATAATTTAGAAAATACACGATGTTTTTATATAAAAGATTATCCGAACAATTACCCGAATTGTCTTCATGATTCTCTACCATATTACAAGCGTATTGAAACACATCGTGACGTCACCAAAATAGGAACTGAAAAGGTTGAAACTTATTTATTACTTCTATTAATTTTAAGTTATTAATATGCTTGTAAATTGACAAGGAATTAATAAATTACATTATATGTGTATAGAAAGAAGAGAAATGTACATCTCTCATTTCTTAATTTATAATTAGATCCTTGTATACATTTAATCTTTATTCATGTTTAATTAATTTTTTAGATGTTGGTTTAACAAAAAATACCGTTGTAGATTTTATAGCGGAACATAAAATGAAAGCTTTGCGATTAATCGGAATTAATTGTAATAGGTAAAGAACATACTCGCACTAACAATCGCATATTAGTATATAATATATATACAATTGTAAAAATATTGAACTTTGTGAGATTCTTTTAGATAACAATATGTATAATTTACAATTTTTTATAATTTAACGTGGTTAAGTGTTTATTGAGACATTTATTCATAAAAAAATCAATTAAAGTACAAATTTTACAGTTTGTGTCTTAGATTTCGTTTTAAATAGTAGAACAAATAAATAAAAACGTAAAATATGCCGTAGTTGCATAGACCAACATAATAGACAGATGTTATATTGATATATACATGTATATACATATATATGTTCGACTTTTGTAGATAAATACTATGCCCTATTTTTGTATGCAATGTCAATTGAGAATCAACGACGAATAAAATATATTTATTATTCTCTGCTATATTTATTGTATTAATTAATATAAACAATAAAATAAGAAAAATTGTGATTGTAAGAATTTGAATTAGTGCAGTAGAATTTATAAATTTAAAAATTTAGAAAAATTAATTAATTTATGAACTTCTTTTTAATACTTTAAGTATATTATGCAAAGTATGACATAATTAAAATTTACTATTTATTAATATCTAATATTTTGAAACTTTTATAAACGATAGTGTTGCATTTGTATAAGTTAAAACAGGTATATTAATAAAAGACAATGATTTTTATTTTTGAAATATATATAATACTTTTGTGTTGAAGGAGACAATAAAAACGTATTAATGATATTAGATTTTGTATGATATATTGTATGTGATAATTGCAGATTTTGAAAATTTGTGCAAGACTTTACAATTTGACTAATTCCAACAACTTATGGTATATCTTTCTTTTATATAGAGAATTTCTTCAATGGATAAGGCAATATTTTAAGAAATATAACAAACTACGTTAAATATATATTAAAATATATTAAAATGTAGGTAATTGTACAAAGACTTATACAAAAAAATAATACTTATTTAATTTAAATTATTAATTTATATAAATAATTCTAAATTAAATATCTCGATAAGAAACTTTTTCTGAATTTCATTTATTGTTGTAAGATTTAAAATGTATCAACGTTTCGAACCTACTTTGCATAAATATATTTTTTTTATTACTTTTATTACTTAATAAATTATTTAGAGTTGTGAAGTTCTTCATTTTTTTAAAATAAATTTATTTGTAATTTATACAAAGTCTCATGAAAATTTTAAATTTTGTTCCAATATTGTTTCTATCAATTTATGCTAAAATGCTTCAAAATTATTTACCTCTGCGATCATCTCCGTTTCAAAGCTTTTATTAAAATTAACAGTATCTATCAAGTCACATTTTTCCGAGACTTCCGTTAAAAAAAGGATTTCTTTTAAGTTCTTTTCGATAACACCACTGGACGTAAGATAAGCTAAAAATAGTCCTTTATATAAGTTATATGGACTGAAGGCAAAACTGTTTTCCGAATTGTAAAACTCATATTTATGTAGACCTTTGATCGAGAACTTGAAAAGCGCCTCCGTGACTATTTCTTCTTTTTTTTTTTAACAATAAAATTCGTCAATCTCAAGTTTTGCATAATTAGTATTTTTAAATATAATAGCTGGTTCTTTTCATTTGTCATGTATTGATCGATGTTCAAACGTAGCAGTGTTGTTAAATATTAATAACAGTATACACACATTAGTTATTTTACTATTTTTTTATAGTCCCGGGTGTCTTCACATATATATTATTGATTTTAATTTTAAAATTAAGCGTGAGTTATAATAAAATTTGATTTTACGCGTTTAAAATAATTATCGAAACATTTCATTATATTATGCTTTTGATTTTACACATATGTTTACTTACATAAATTGTTAATTTAAGATATTTATTTATATTTTTTATTGTAATTTAATATAATTAAATTACTATAGCTATACATAATATTCGTTTTTTTTCTTAAGTTTATTATTTATTCTGTATCTATTCTATTCACTGGAAGAAACAATAAAGAAAGGACGTTTTTCTTTCGCGATGAAGTGTCTGCATAAGATTTTGGGTGCCAATCACAATAAAAATTTTGTATTCAGTCCGTCTTGCCTATATGATGCACTTTTTCTGACATATTTCCTGATTAGAGATGCAATTTCGGAGCGCCTAAAAGAGATTCTTTGTTTAGGGATTCTCAGCAAAACATATTTTATGAACTATTGTTCTCATAAAAAAGACAGAGGGGTAAATATTCTTGACACATTTTTGCATTATATAATATATTCCGCCATAGAAAAAAGTAAAATTTGCAGTTGATGCATAAAATATATTATGTAAACACCGTCAATCTGAATGATTATTAAAAGTTTCATTGCATTGACAGAAAATGTTTTAGCGAAATTAAAATTCAACGCCTTGTCACAATTTAAATTCGTCAGTGACCAATTTTTGTAACAATAGATTCTTCAATTTTAGACATTTTTCTTATCCGAAAAATCTATAATTTTGGCCTTTTCATGTTAAATATATATACTGTAAAAATATGTATACTAACATATAAATACAATGATTGCAAACAAAAAATAAAACTCGAATGAAGCGATTTATTAATAATTGCTGTCTATTATGTAGAAAAAGTGAATATGTAACAGACATTAATTCTATATATTTGGTTTCAGCAAGCATGGATACCCTATTCCGAGAATTGCAATAATGACGTTAGATGTTGGATTGACCTTAACAAAAAATATTCCAAATACAATAGCTAGGACAATATCTTATTTCTTTGACAATCCAATGATCGACTCAAAAACATACATAAATTGTGAGGCACAAATAAAACACGTTAATAAATTATTAAACAGATCGGTAGAAGGATTAATTAATGAGCGCATATAACATTACCTGATGACAAACAAGATTTTATATTGATGACCTCTATCAGTGACAAATTCAATTATGACGAACCAGCTGCCGCACAGGCAAATCGATCTGTTAGCTGTAAGTATCACATATATCTTCATTTTATTTAACATATATAATCTATATTGTGCTTAGATAATTTTATAAAATTAGCTAAATAAAGATGAGATAAAATATTAACTTAGTTTAGATGTGTGAAGATGATTTTGTTTAAAATATATCTAGAAAGAAGATAAAAATTATATGGTTGTTTATCTATAGATAACTTGTAGATAATACTAGTTTTAGACCGCTTATGTAATCGTAGTTATAAAAAAATGTAAATTATAAAAGGGATACAAAAATATTTTTATATTTTAAATTGTAAGTTTCTTACAATTAAAGTGATTATCACACATTTTCATTTTATTTGACATACATAGTATAACATTTTTTATAATGTAACCTTTTTTATTATCTATAAATAAAATATATTATGTTTTCTAAAGGAAACACCACCTCCAAATTTAATATTCAATAAACTTCTGTCCGGGTACATTTTTAATGAAAGTTAAAATATTAGTAATATACTTCGTAAAATTTTGTCGTCTCTGACATAATATGATAGAGATGTTCGATGCTTAGCAGCTGCTGTAAGAAACATGTAACAGTTGGAATTTGTCAAAAAAACTCAATTGATATCTGGATATCATTGCATTAAAAAAAAGGAAATAATTATTGTATTGAAACATTATATATGAAAGAAAGAATATAGAATAAATATAATTGTAATTAAATGTTTCTCTCTCTCTCTTCAAAATTGTTCAAAATATATTTCTGATTTTTACTTCTTTGACAATTACTCCATTTTTAATTATCCACCGTATAATCAAAATGTGTTTACGTAAAAAAACATTTTGTTCGAAATGTAATGCTATCGTTATTATAAAAAACAGAAGAGTAAATATTCCTGATGCATTTTTTGGATTACATATAATATATTCTATCATAGAAAAGAGTAAACATTTACAATACTCGTATACTAATTAAATGCTCTTTAATTCAAATAAAGTATTACACATATGAAAGGCTAATAAGAGCAGAAGTAATATTACGGTTATAAAAAAACTAATTTATTACATTTAACCAATATGTAGCTGATATAAACAATAAAATTAATCTAAAATTATAAACTCGAAAGTTAAAACAAATGAGAAAGCGAACCAATTTTTGATCCAATTTTTCGGATCTTCTTCAGCGCAGTACAAAAAGCAAAATTAAAATCAACAAAATCTAAATGTTTTTAACGTATAAACGTCTAATAAACATATTTAAACGCGGTTACATCAGTAAACGAAATAAAACGTCGTAAGATTAACATTAATATGACTCTCACTGAGCCATCACATTTACGTTACTGTGGGAAGCGATTCTCTCTAGTTTTCTGACTACGAGGTTGGCAGGTGTTAAAATATAAATCGCATTTTATAAATTAAAATAATTTCCTCAATACATCTCACTAATTATAAGATCCAAAATCAAATGCGTTATAAAACAATAATCAAACACATTGTATAAAAAAAAAAAAAAAATGCTAATAAAAACTTACATATATTTATGATGTGACAATATTTTAGTTGTAACAGTAACAAAAGTGACGCTAGTGTAATCCTCATGTCAGTAGAACGGCTTAGAGAAAACTGAAGCTCAGTTGGAAACGAAAAGTGACAAACAATCATAATCATTTTGTATTTGTTATTTAATCTTAGAGTTTAGGTAGTCTCTCTATAGCTTCGATATAAATATCAGATAGATTTTCAGTATCAGTCTGTAGATTGAGACTATTATTTTGTCTTTTTATGTATATCATTTCTGATACTGATCTTTTTCCGTAATATATTTTTTTATCTAAAATATTAATGTTCTCCCAATCAAATTCATGGTTAAAATTAATGCGGTGGTCCGTTATTACTGATTTAGCATTACTATTTCTAACTAATGTGTTTTTTATGTTCAGAAATTCTTGTGGTCAGTCTTCTACTAGTCTGGCCCACGTAAGAAGCGTCACAGTTTGAACAATTAATTTTGTAAACAACGTTGGTATTATTCATTTTAGAAATAGTACCTTTATGTACTCGTATATATTTATTTAATTTATTAAAACTAAAAAAGGATAATTTAATATTCATGTTCCTAATAATATTTCCAAATTGTTCTGTCAAACCGGGAAAAAATGGTATAGTGAAAAAAGACGTTTTTTATACACTATGACGTGTTACAGTAAGACGTCTCTTCTCGTCGCGCGCATCTATTCGCGTGGATTGGCCGATCTTTTTATTTAATAACTCAATAATTATTGCGAAAATCGCAAAACGGTAGAGGACTTTCCTATTCGGTTTAACTTACTCTACCTGCACACGACGGTTGAGGCAACACTTACCGGACACCCTGTATATATGTGTATATGTTGCATATTTGATATACATATAATAATAATAATAATATCTCTGTGGTTTCTCTATGATAACGCACGTACAATTACTACAAATTATATATTATTATTATTTATTATTTTAATGTTATGTACTGTAATTTAACGTGCTATAAAAATCTATTGAGGAATCAATTGACAAGAATAATTATTTAGTCTAATCTTGCACTTTCCAGTTCCACCTTTGCTTTATAAAAACCAAGAAATTAAATATAAGTCACGAGAACGTAAAATTTGCGATCGGAATGATCGTAAAACATAGTGATAAACATCAAAATAATTGTAACGGTAGTGTGATAATTGGATGGTATCGATCAAAAGATTTATTATGTACTACATATTTCGAAGAAGGAGAAAATCTTAATATCAATTTTACACAATTAAATAATATAATGCCATTAATTTTATATCGTAATTATACTTCTGCAAAACAACAAATAATAAATTACATAATTCTTGCCGAAAATAATGAAATGTGTCTCGTGGAAGAAGGTATATGAATATCATCATTAAGACGTGCCCTTATTTAGAATTATATTTGTTTATTTTACGTATCCATCTTTTCGTACACAATATAAATTATTATTTTAATTTATTCTATATATTTGTTAATTTTACTATATGTATATATTGGTTATATATTTGTTTTTATTTTTTTTATTTTTATTTTTAATTTATTATCTTATTTTATACAGGATGTTCCAAAACTGGCAGAAAAGATTTTAATGGCAGATTTTATTTAAAAATTATATTTTGCAAATATATACATATTACTAATTTTAACAATCAATAGGGCATAAGACATAGACTTTAATTTTAATAATTAAATCGATATTTTCCATAAAAATAATATATAAGTTGTATAAATTAAAATTAATTTTAATAAGAAATTTATTTTAATAATTAAATTTTTTATATAAGAAACATTTTTTTATATATACTACTGTATATAAAGTTACTAGTTCCTGAACAAAAATTCCTATACATTTTTATTCGGAACATTTTGATATTAAACTACTTTTAACTTCAAATAGTAAAATAATATGATAATAATAATACGACTAAATTTCATATATGGTAGTATTTTTATTGGAGGTGTATTTTTTCGCTAAAATCTATATATTTCATTTTATTGTATAAAATTGTATCTTTAAAATATTTAGTTTAATTTAAAAAATGCATATATATTTTTAGAATTTGTCAAGTTTACGAATCTATATATTTACCTAAAAAAAAGTATCAAGATTTTTAAATTAAAATAAATTATTTACATTCTAATAAATCTAACTAGAGCTCTAAAAAAATTCTAACAAAAATTCTTATACATTTTGAGGACAATTTTAGGACATTGATAATAAACTTCTTTTCAATTTAAAGTAAAAAAATATGATATTAATAATACAATTAAATTTTATATGCGAGGTATTTTTTTTTGCTAAAATCTAGATATTTTACTTTATTATGTATAAATTTATATCTTTAAGACATAAAAGTTTAATATAAAAAAATGCATATCTTTGCTCAGGATTTTATCTAGTTCACGAAACTGTACATTTACCCTAATTTCCAGATTTTTAAATTAAAATAATAAAACATATTCACGTTTCCCGATAAATATGACGCTCTCCTTTCACGGGGAGAACCTTCAATTGTCGATCTGTCAAACAGGCCTTGGACGAGACATCTGAAAGGCGACACTACCGTGATAGCTGACGTGGACTAAACTGTGCTCCGTTTCGTTTTGCTCCGTGTTTTCCCTTAATTATTCCCGATTTATATGGATCATCTCTCGCTTAATCTGGATAATTTTACACTCAATCTTGAGTGTACATTTCGAAATACTTACAAGAATTAGCCGGTGTCGGTTGCTTTCCAAGTACACGAATTTCTCGTTTTGTTGTAACGAAAGATGTATATTCGGTGAAGCAGAAATTTTACTAAGCTTATTGAGATCCTATCAAGGAAATCGAGAAGAAAAGTGAATAAAAGTTAACAAGGTATATTTTAACACCTTTTTGAGACTGATTTATTTAATCATTATATTATATTTGTATATAAAAATTGTATATAAAATTTCAATGTTTCTTCTTCTCTTTCGTTGAGTATTATTTTTTGATATTTTTAATAATTTTTTACATACTTTACATCATAAAACAATTATATATAAAAAAATGTAATTGTATAATTTATAATATTTCTCAAAAATATATCTAAAGTTTAATTGCATTATTTTATTAATTTATTTATTGCTTACGAAGAATTTTCTTGCTCTAAATGCAAAAAATATATTAAAATGTAATTAATAGCATTTTACATTTTACTTTCTATATTTTTAATTATCTATATAAATACACACAAGATAAAGAATTTTTTTAAATAAATCTAATTATAAATTATATCAGAATGAATGTTGCAGAAAAGCAAACTCTATCATGAATTATTAATCTTATATATAATTTTAATCTTATAAAATAATAAATCTTATATAATAATTAACCTTATAATAATTTAGGTTAATGGACGTATCGCCGAAAAATTCGCACGAACAGTGCTTCTCCCAAGGAAAAGAGGAAATCTCGAAGAACATTGGTTCATCTGTGGGGAAGAATCAAAATGAAAATATCGAA